AGAATTTGCGAAAGCAATTCAGCAAAACGGACGTGTTGTCGAGTAAAATTTAAAGTTAACATTATACAGAGAAGTATGATATAAAGAGTTTTTTTTTATAAGAGTTTTTCAAAAACGTTTTAAATTAGAAATTTAAATTTGCCAGCAGTAATAGTTTTTTTTTCAGTTTTCCCGTGGTCAACTGGGAAGATGATTAAACAAATTGAATAAACGCGCGATCTCTGCAACGTGGAAATAAATGGTCGACTGCTCTCCTTCTTCTCTCTTCTAATTATTCTTCGTTTTCTTCTTTACCCTCTTTCTATCTTGCGCTTTAATTGCAATCATTTAAAATGGGTTAGAGCAGAACTCCTCAGCGCAGCTTTGGCGAAACAAATTGCCGTTTTCCTGGTTACCGTAAATTTCGAGGTCTGTTTTCTTTATGTCGCCATTTTCACGAGTGTATATGTCTCTTGATAATCCGCAGTGAGATCCTCCCGTTCTGTAATCTTCAAACTATAATTCATTTTGTAAAGAGAAAAATGCGCGAGAGGAAATATTAAATGGACTTCGGGAAATATGTCTAGACTTTCCTTTTACACGCGCGATGCATTCCCAAGTTTCCTAAGGGACGTGACGGCTTTTTTAACAAAGTAATCCTTCAGATTGAATTATCATCTCTGTGAAACGCGTAGCGTATGTGATATAACGGAAGCTCTGCGTATATTCGTTGATTACTGATTCGTTCCAAGTTTGATGATATTTTTTTCAATTCGCGTTACGAATCCTTCGTGCGTATTGAAGTGAAGAAGTCATGTGCCTTTTTTTTGTAGGATATTAGATATCTTATCGAATCGCCATTCGATATCCTGCTGTCGTACCAGATATGCCAGTTGCGTGATTCTGTTTTCGAAACTGCATCGTTCACAGTTTCGCATATTGGAAACGTGTGACATTTTTTTTTTCAAGGAATATTTTGTACAAAGATATTGATCAGCAGTGCGTTAGAGTAAATTTAAAGGTCTTACAAGGAAGGCACTGTGCTGTGGGAATTGCATCATTCTGAAGAATGCACGCGCTGCCTACGCGACAATTCTACTAATAAAGCTCACCTAATTAAGAGCCTACGGGTTCAACGCGCTCCGAAGCTGTCTTATCTGCGCTTAAACGCTCTTGCAATTTAGAAATACGCGGAAAGAATGATTTTGGAAGGTCTAGAAATTTTGCTGGATACACATTTGAAAATAATTGTGTTGGATCATCAAAATACATTTCGTTGGAAATTCAAACTGGTTGCCAGAATACCAAAATGTTTTACAGTATTGCTCATAATTTTTCAACAAAATTATTTCAGATCTGTATCTAGCAAAATTTTTACCTTTCACAGTAAAATCATTCTTTTCCTGTAGAATTTTGGTGATATAAATAAATGCTAAATATTCAAATATAAGCGGAACGCGCTTTAAAAATGTGTGAAATTTTATTCATATTAGCAGTAGGTTACGTTTTACAGCAGTGGAAACGAAAAAAATAAGACTTATTGAGGCTTCGATTGCCAATAAATGGCCGAACGAGTTTCTGCTCCATTTTGCAAGGGCGCAATTGCCCGAGAAATATATTCGCGACGCTTTCGCAAGATCGGCGACTCGAACGGAATAAGAGAAAGCATTTAATAACACGCTGCACGAATTAATGTTATTATTGTTGCAATTCTCAATTGCCATTGTAACAGTTTTCTTCCGTAGAGCGCTTTCATTTCATGCTGACCGGGTACAAGCACAGTGATTTAAGCAGAGTAAAGTATGAATGCGTGAACATATTATTTAATTAAAATTAAAGATAAATTGCTCTAACAGCGCTTGATACGTTTGAAAATACTTGGTTAAATTGAGGACAAATATAAATCTTCTTTATATTGAAAATCTCTTTAATCAAATTGATTTATCATTGATATTAACAAAATTAATTTTATATGTAAACAGTTATTCATATCCGTCGTAATTCCATTGCCAATAATGTTTTTCATCAACTATTAATGTGCACGTACGTGGATATGTTTTTGATATTTAACGAAATTAAATATCGAGTTAGAGGAAAGAGGGAAGCCTTCTTTTTACAAAAATTCGCACTGTTTCTAATTTGTGACTTCGCGATACTACAGACGTGAAGATTATTCGCAAAAAGTAGTTCGGAAGGTGGTGGAAAGTCTTTGCGACAAAGTAGCCCGGCGAACGATGTCGTAAACGTTCAGTAGTAGCTGCCGATAAAAGTTTCATGACTGAGGATAGGCAGCAGTCGGATAGACGAACATGTATGCCACACACGAGCACCGAGATCTTTCTCTTCCGGAATTTCAAGGCATTCATAAATAATCTCGGCGAATCTCAGGGG